GATAAAAATAAGACTGTTACTGAGAAAAAGCAAAAATGTTCTTCTTACAAAAATCTGATAGGAATTTTTCTAAGCCATCCATGTGCAAATTGCTCTGGGTGATCTAACAGAAGGCATTCCAGTGGCAACTTGGAGGAAGAGCAAGGGTGAATTTCATAGAGCTATTTCCCATAACAACTGCCAGAACAGGTGTATCACACAGGCACTGTTCATAAGAGGAATAATTCTGTGGGGTGAGACAAACCAAGATGCCATGATTGTAGAACCTAGTTTTCTGATGGCCTGACTTGATCTCAATACGTCTTAGAAAATCTGGAAAACAGCTTGTATGATCCTTAGTTGGTTATTCCTAAATTGTTTTCTCAGATGAACTTTTAAAAATATTTGGTAGCACTGATAGACATGTTCCAGGCAGAAACAAAGCTTTTCTTTTTGTTCCAGGTGCATACCAACACTTACACTTTAACAGAATGCAGAGTTTCAGGTTGGATTGACTTCTTTTGAAAACTGAGGAGCCAATTAAGGATACTGGCCTCAAGGGTCCATCTAGCCTTTGGATGAGCTGACGATGTGCCCTAATAAAATACTCACCCCAGTAAACTTTTTTGAATTGGTTTTAATATCCAGACAAACCCCAAAGTTTATGTTATGGTCACAGTATATTTAGCCTGGAAGAGTTTTTCACCCATGTATAACCAGATACCTACCTGGTGGAAAAGCTCAGAGTACTCATAAAACTTTGTCTAGCTTTGAGCAGTGTTATTCCTGGTTTTTCCTTTTCTTCTTCTTTTTTTTTTTTTTTTCCCTGAGTCGGGGTCTCACTCTGTTGCTCAGACTGGAGTGCAGTGGCACAATCACAGCTTACTGCAGCCTCAACCTCCTGGGCTCAGGTGATCCTCCCAAGTAGCCGGGACTACAGGTACACATACCATGCTCAGCTAATTTTTTAATTTTGGGGTAGAAACTAAGTCTCACTATGTGGCCTAGACTAGTCTCCAATTCCTAGGCTCAGGTGATTCTCCCACCTTGGCGTCCCAAAGCATTGGGATTACAGGAATGAGACACCATGCCCAGCCAACTCCTGGTTTTTCTTTTAAAGCAAACTACTTGCCAAATACATATTAAGGAAGTCAAATGAAGGAATTTATCAAATTTATAGAATTGTTATTTTATAAATCACTTATTAATTGAGGGATAACCTACCAAAAATAAATTTTTAAAATCTTATTTATGTATTTGTTTATTTATTTATTTTTATTTATTTATTTTGAGTTGGAGGCTCACTCTGTTGCCCAGACTGGAGTGCAGTGGCATGCTCCTGGCCACCACAGCCTCAACCTGCTGGGCTCTGGCAATCCCTCCGCCTCAACCTTCCAAGTAGCTAGAACTAGGCACGTGCTACCACCCCTGGCTAATTTTTGACTTATTGTAGAAACAAGGTCTTGCCAAGTTGCCCAGGCTGGTCTCAAACCCACGGACTCAGGCAATTCACTTGCCTCGGCCCCCCAAAGTGCTGGGATTACAGGCTGAGCCACCGAGCATGGTCTAAAAGTAAAATATTTGATTACAGAATAGGTGTTCTGTAGCCCTTTCTCTGGCAGGAATTAGTTAACAAAAAACATTCCTTATTAGTCATAATAAAAACATAGTACTCTAGAGTTATTAAAAATAATAATAATAATAAACTACTTACGTCAAACATAAGAGAGCAGTATGCACTAACTTATACAAAATGGGATCATATTATTAATAAGAAACAAGTTAGCAAAAAGTAGAGCTAGAAAATACCCTCTAGGCCGGGCTCGGTTGGCTCACCCTATAATCCCAGTGCTTTGGGAGGCTGAGGTGAGTGGATTGCCTGAGCCTGCGGGTTCAAGACCTGCCTGGGCAACTTGGCGAGACCTCATCTCTACAATAAATCAAAAATTAGCCAGGTATGGTAGCGCGCGCCTGTAGTTCCAGCTACTTGGAAGGCTAAGGCGGAAGGATTGCCGGAGCCCAGCAGGTCGAGGCTGCGGTGGCTGGGAGCGGCCACTGTACTCCAGTCTGGGTGACAGAGTGAGAGTCCAACTCAAAAAAAAAAAAAGAAAAAATACCCTCTTATACAACAAAAAATTTTAATAACTTCAAAGAGCCTTTTTCCTTTCCTGAATCTTGCAAAATTGGGTACTGGTTCTAAGCGAACATCAATATGTTTGCAAAGAATTTACCAGTGGGAGATGGTGACTGAATAGCATGGTTTGTTATTGTCATTGCTTAAAAATGCTGTGACTCAGTGATACTCATTGCTGTGGCTTTTCTTATTAGTAATCTGCCTAGAAGTCTGGTGTCTGATGCTTACTCACAATTATCATGTGGTCACACAGTGATGATAAATGATGATAATGAAGTTAAAGGCAGAGTATCAATTGACCAGGGCAGTGTATGAGAAATCAGGAAATTCACCTTCTGGCCTTGGCTCAGTCAGTGATTTTCTGATATTTGTCATATCTTTCGAACATTCTGTATTTCAGCTACTCCATCTGTTAAACTGATTCATAATAACTGCCCTGGTCTGTCTCCCAAGAATGTTGCATGGACAAATTAGATAAGTGTAAAAGTGCCTTGGAGGCAAAGCCACTTTGTGAATAAAAATGAGTGTGGTATAGCTACTGAAAAGTATGTTACAGAGGCTGGAATGGTGAGTCCACAGGCTTCGTGACCAGATAAGGCTTCATAATGGATTCCTGCCAAGCAAACCAAGCCCATCTTATCAGTTCCTGCCTGTATAGTATTTAACAGGGGAAAAGAAAAAACCTTTTTACAAACATTTGTTACCTTAATGTGCACTAAAAATCAGTCATGTTTGGTGAGAGGGAAGGAGGAAGTTGCTAAACAATGGGTATAAAATTTGAGTTATACAGGATGAATAAATTCTAGAGCTCTGCGGTACAACGTTGTGCCTATAATTAACAATATCATATTGTACACTTAAAAACCTGTTAAGAAACTGGGCTCGGTGGCTCAGCCTGTAATCCCAGCACTTTGGGAGGCTAAGGTGGGTGGATTGCCTGAGCCCACAGGTTCGAGACCCACCTGGGCAATTTGGCGAGACCTTGTCTCTACAATAAATCAAAAACTTAGCCGGGCATGGTAGTGTGCGTCTGTAGTTCCAGCTACTTGGAAGGCTGAGGCGGAAGGATCGCCAGAGCCCAACAGGTCGAGGCTGCGGTGGCCCAGACCGTGCCACTGCCCTCCAGTCTGGGCGACGGAGTGAGACTCCAACTCAAAAAAAAAAAAAAAAAAAACCTGTTAAGAGAATAGATCTCTTTTTAAGTGTTTAACCACAGTAAAATAATTTTTTTCTTTAAAAAATCAGTCATATTTGAATTAAATAAAACCTTTCAAAGTAGTTCCAAACAGTTCATAATATTTTGGAGGATGAAGATTTTTGATGTGTTTAATAAAGTTAAGAAATAAGTATGTGAACTAATGTGTGGGGGAAGAGAAATTTACTAAAGTATGAGGGAGGATCCCCAAAAACTGGAATTACTTTTGAGAGGGTGGGCTCCTCGTAGTACAGGCTTCTCCCACTAGATAAGCGTCCTAGGAGCCCATCAGCATCAGTGTACCAGCTAGCGGTTACCCATTTTATGACAGGTGATTTGATCCATTTTTCTTCTGGCAGGGGACCATTCTTAGTGGCACTGGGGAAATCTTGGCACCCAGAAGAATTCAACTGCGCTCACTGCAAAAATACAATGATCTACATTGGATTTGTGGGGAGAAGGGAATTTTTTTTAGAGATTCTTTCAACACGTTTACCCATTTCATGATGGGTGATTTACAAGCACACCTGCCACACCATGCTGAGTGTTCAGCAGTTTTTGACCAAAAACAGCATGACCCCCGTGCCCCACCCTCCCTATTCACCTGATCTCACCAGAAGTGACCATTTTTGGTTCCCCAGTTGAAAAAAGTCCTCAAAAGGAAACATTTTGCCAATGTGAAAGAGGTGAAACAAAAAATGGCAGAAGCACTAAAAGGCATCAAAATTGACAAGTTCAGAAACTGTTTTGAGCAAGGGAAAAAGCATCTCTATAGGTGTGTTGCATTGAATGGGGAGTACTTTAAAGGTGACTGAAGTTTAAACATGTAAGAATAAATACACAATTTTTAATAAATAAATTTCAAGCCGGGCTCGGTGGCTCAGCCTGTAATCCCGCGCCTTTGGGAGGCTGAGGTGAGTGGATTGCCTGAGCCTGCGGGTTCGAGACCCGCCTGGGCAGCAAGACCTCATCTCTGCAATAAAGCAAAAAATCAGCCGGGCGTGGTAGCGCATGCCTGTAATTCCGGCTACTCGGAAGGCTGAGGTAGAAGGATCGCCGGAGCCCAGCAGGTCGAGGCTGCGGTTGCCGGGAGCGGCCACTGCACTCCAGTCTGGGCAACAGAGTGAGACTCCAACTCAAAAAAAATAAATAAATAAATAAATAAATAAATAAATTTCAGATGTTTTTGGATTCCGCCACATATTTTCTCAGGTAATAATTATTACTGTTTTTAAGACTTTGATTTACCAAATGAAGATTTTGTTGTTGTTGTTTATTTTGCAGAAATGTCAAGTTTTCATCCCTGCCTAAACCAAGTATTTTTTTTTCTGGTTACTTCATGTTCTGTCATAGTCATGGTTAACATCCTCATTCTCAATCCTAATCACGATGCAGACAGATTGACTCATTTCAACTCAGTAAAACATACCACCAAATTCCCTGAAGCCAGAAAAGTGGGCAGGGTAGCCTTTCTTGAAGGAATCTGTTATACACTCTTAACTCCTCTCTCCCTTTCTCTTCACATACATGCAGAAATCCTGTATTAATTTTACAGCACCCTTGTGTTCGTTCCTTGAGAAGGGAAACATAGCAAGTATTTAATTGTTTGGACATTGCATAAAAGAGGCCTATCCAGGATAATTTTAGAAATTTTTATCCTTGAGCTAAGATGATCTATTTTTCTTCTGACAGGGGACCATTCTTAGTGGCACTGGGGAAATCTTGGCACCCAGAAGAATTCAATTGCGCTCACTGCAAAAATACAATGGCCTACATTGGATTTGTGGAGGAGAAGGGAGCCCTGTATTGTGAGCTGTGCTATGAGAAGTTCTTTGCTCCTGAGTGTGGTCGCTGCCAAAGGAAGATCCTTGGAGTAAGTGTTGGAAACATTTTTATTTAGTGAGTTTTTAATAATAATTTTTGGTTACAAAACTTTTCTATCATTTTAGCTTTTTATTTTCTTCTTGCCTTATCCCTCTCCACTTTCATTGCTGTTTATTATTATAAAGCAAAACTAAATAGACCTCTGTGGAAGTATATCGGACTCATGGGGTTAGGTTGTCTTTGGTTTTGTCTCACTGAGTGCTGGCTTGTCTGGTGGAAGTCTAGCCACTGTGGGGGCAAAATAATTTACTGTGGGTGTGCTACCTCAACGGGACCCTGTTTGCTCAGGAATGAAGAGGTCACACAGGACCACACACATCTGCATGCTCAGAACTGACACCTTCACTGTTTTAAATTAAATTCCATAGCTTTTATAAGGGCAGCATTACTCCACTTGTTGGGGTTCAAGTACAGGACACTGATTTCATGAAATATATAAAACATGAGGCTTATAAATGATATATTTTTCTTGAATGCATATAATGTTTAAACATATAACCTCAGTTTTATGAGAGTGCACATGTGATGGAAAAATCATTTCAAACCACAACTTTTTTTTAACAAAAAGGGAGTAATTTAGGAATTAGAGACAGTACATAATAAATTATGTTGAATAAATGAAATTTCTGCTCTAGAATACCCAGTTTGCAATTATAAAATAAGGGCTAGACATTTCTTAGGTGTGACCAGGAACTGGAATTTGATTTTAGAAGAAACCCAGATTCCTGGGCTTGTACAAAAGTTGGAAATGGACATCCTGAATTCTGGTACTCTCAATATGGAAATATAATAAGGCCAGGTACGGTGGCTCAAGCCTATAATCCCAGCACTTTGGGAGGCCAAAGTGAGAGGATTGCCTGAGCCCATGAGTTTGAGACCAGTCTGGGCAACTTGGCAAGACCTCATTTGTACAATAAATAAAAAAATTAGCCAGCTGTGACAGCACGCACCTATAGTTCTGGCTATTTGGAAGGCTGAGGCAGAAGGATCACTGGAGCCCTGCGGGTCAACACTGGGGTGGCCATGAGTGTGCCACTGTACTCCAGCCTGGGTGACCAAGTGAGACTCCAACTGGAAAAAATATATATATATAAAATATATATATAATTTTATATATTATATGTAAATATATATGATATATAATAAACTCTAATTCGTGTTAATTTAGAGAAAAATTATGCATTTTTGAGTAGTCTTAATTTTTTAGGTATGTCTTTAAATGAGTCTAAAACTTTGAGGACACTTTAAATTATAATTATACCACTTGAAATTTTTTGTTATTAATATATATAATACGTTGGAAACAAATGATTAGAATGGTTCTACTTGTACTTTCCCAAATGATGAGAAATAGTTAGTAGAATACCCATTAGTCCTGTTTTGATGTATAAATGGGTTCTATGAATTCTGGAATAATACAACAAAACCCAGTGTAATTCTTAGGCCCAAATAAGATTCTAGGAATGGAAATATTATACTCTGCTTTAGAGACTGGCCAGAACTTCATAAAAGGGATGTTTTTCAGTTGTCTGACTACCTGTTAAACAATGAATAGTAATCTGTCTTAAGGATGGAAAGGGAAGTATATTCCAGTAGGCTTGGGAAATGATTTGGTTCAATGTACATTTGTTGTAAGTGTTCGTGGTGATCTGTTTGGATCTAAACATCTGCCATTTCTTCCCATTGTCCTTCAGTAGTGAACTATGGAATTTCTGTGGCTAGTAATTTATATAATTTTCTTTTATTTTGATTTTTTTTGAGGGGGGAGCAGGATTTATTGAGAGGACAGAAAAGCTCCCAGTGCAGGAGGGGACCCAACAGGGTTGCCCTTATTTTGATATTTTTAAAGAAATTAATTCACTCTAGAACAATTAGGATATACAAAAAAATTTAAAAATAAGTTCACAGCAGGTCAACGCTGGCGTGGCCATGAGCGTGCCACTGCACTCCAGCCTGGGTGACAGAGTGAGACTCCAACTCAAAAAAATAAATAGATAAATAATAAATAAATGAATCCGAATTACCTATACATTTACCAATTGTAGATAATTACTATTAACCTTATTGTTTCATTCCGTTTTGCATTGCTATAAAGGAACACCTGAGGCTGGGTTATTTATAAAGAAAAGAGGTTTATTTTGGTTCTGCAGACTGTGTGGAAGCATAATATGGCCTCCACCTCAGGAAGCTTTTACTGGTGGCAGAAGGCAAGGAAAACCAGCATGTCACATGGCAAGAGTGGAAACAAGACAAAGAGAGGAGGTGCCTGACTCTTTTTAGCAAACAACTCTTGTGTGAACCAGTAGAGCAAGAACACACTCATTACTGTGAGAATGACACCCAGCCGGGCTCGGTGGCTCAGCCTGTAATCCCAGCACTTTGGGAGGCTGAGGTGAGTGGATTGTCGGAGCCCGAGGGTTCGAGACCCACCTGGGCAACTTGGCGAGAACTCATCTCTACAATAAATCAAAAATTAGCCAGGCATGGTAGCGCACGCCTGTAGTTCCAGCTACTTGGAAGGCTGAGGCAGAAGGATCGCCGGAGCCTGGCAGGTTGAGGCTGCGGTGGCCCAGAGCAGCCATACTCCAGTCTGGGCAACAGAGAGAGACTCCAACTCAAAAAAAAAAAAGAGAGAGAATGACACCTAGCCATTCATGAGGGATCTGCTCTTATGACCCAAACACTTTCCACCAGGCCCCACCTCCAGCACTAGGGATCACATTTTAACATGAAATTTGAGGAAACAAACACTCATACTGTATTCACGTATGATATGTTTTCTTCCAGTTTGCTCTTTGTAAGTAATTCACTTACAAAATTGTAACTACATTTTATGTACATCCTCTTTTTGTGATAAATAATATGGGAAGAGTAAATCCCATGTTATTATCATCAAAAAATTATTTCTAATGGCTTCGTCTCTTTCTCTCAATCCAAAGAAATGATTCCTTATAAAACCACCTTTCCCAAACCTCTCTTTCTAATTGATATCTGGCCCAAGCCTTTAATACGTGGTATATTTGGCTGGGCTTGGTAGCTCAGCCTGTAAACCCAGCACTTTGGGAGGCCGCGGCGAGAGGATTGCCTGAGCCCGGGGGTTCAAAACCAACCTGGGCAATTTGGTGAGACCTCGTCTCTACAATAAATCAAAAAATAAGCCGAGTGTGGTAGGGCATGCCTGTAGTTCCAGCTATTTGGAATGCTGAGGTGGAAGGGATTGCCTGACCCCAGCAGGTCGACACTGGGAGAGCTGTGAGCATGTCACTGCACTCCAGCCTGGGCAACAAGAGTGAGAATACAACTCCAAAAAAAAAAAAAACTTGGTATATTTAACCATAGGGCCGTTGTTGATTAGAATCCATGCTTTTTATACTTCACATTTTAGACAGTCACCTGAGTGAATGCTCAGTGCCATCACAGCTGATTTTCAAAAGCCCGAACTTATATTAAGCTTGATTGGATTACTCTGATAATATTATTGCTTCTATAGAATGCCAAAATACAGGTTTGTTTTAATTTTTAAATTCTTCCTCCTTCCTCGACATTTGCAGATAATACTATGAAACTTTTGTAAGTTAATGTTTCCTGACACTCTTTGAGAAAAAGTGGAATGTATCATAGAAAGCCCTTATAAAATGCTTGCTTTATTCACTATACATATAATGTTTAAATGACATAGTAATCATTCTTTAAATATTCATTGATTTGTATTTGTGAAAAACACATCGTGTAGTGCATCAGATTAGATGATTTTTGAGTCTGTTCTTAAGTATCTCCTTGATACTTAAGTTACTTTGAGGAAAAGCTCAAGACATAAAGCATGTATATCTACTTTGGGTTAGCTGTACAGGATTTTATTGGTACAGCTATTAGAATAAACGTTTGGGTTTTTATTGTCATCTCTTTTTACATCTAATTACCTTTCTGTAACAGGAAGTCATCAATGCTTTGAAACAAACTTGGCATGTCTCCTGTTTTGTGTGTGTGGCCTGTGGAAAACCCATTCGTAATAATGTTTTTCACTTGGAGGATGGTGAACCTTACTGTGAGACTGGTAAGATCATGAAACCATTCGCTTCTTGATTTCTGAATAAACATAAAACATTAACCTTTATATTACTATAAAGCTGTGGAAAATATTGGGCAAAGTAGTTTTCTTCATTGTTTTGGGGACATTTTTTATTACTCAACATATAGGAAAAAAATCTATTTAAACTTTCTATGTGACTTTATCACTTTCTCTGTGATTTTTAAAATTCTTATAATAATTAAGACTGTAAGCATTACTTAGCAGGAAAAGGAAAAATATCTTCCTTGAATCCTCAATAATTTACGGGTATACATTCTAGCAAATCATGTAACTTAAAGCTACCTTCTACAGTCCAGTAGTGAATTTTGAATGATTATAAACATCAGAAACGTTCAACTTTAGAATATGATGTTGATTTACCTTTCAAAGCAATTGCCTTGAAAATAAACGTGAAGTCCTTTGTTTCTTTTACTGAATGAGAGGGTAATCCTGGCTTGGATTGCTCCCTTGCTAAAATGCTTTTTAGATTATAAGGACCTGTCTTCTGCATTTGTCTTACTACATGAACTCTGGACACCTCCTTTTCTTTTCCAAAGTCTATATGCGAACTTCCAAATATTTATTTATTAATATTTTTAAAGTCCAAAGAATTGGGAAAATATTATTGAACATTTAAGTATCGCTTCTAATCAACTTGGTATATTTTTATTCCTTTTGGGTTTTTTTGGTTTTTTTTTTTTTGCTTAAGCACGCCCA